GATCAAAATATTTGTACTCACTCAAAGTGTTTGTTTTCTTTGTAGATGTGTCAGTATTGTGAGTCGTATTGAGAGATATTGATATTTTATGTATATTGATGTTTTATGATACGTTGGATTTTGAAGGAGTGTAGAAGGAAGTAGGGATAGAAAAACATTTTTATATGAGGATTCGACTTCTTTGGGGTGAAAGGAACCGACAATGGGGAAAAGTGGGTTCGGCGCATGGTTCGGCGGCCTGATTATCCTTTAAGGATTATATAGACGGGGGTAATTAGGAAAGGAAAGCCAACCTGTTGAAGAATTAGACTACATATGTTGAAATGTTTGATGTGAGGAATGTGATGATTGTTTTATTTGTTTTATGTTTTGTGTGATGTGATGATGATATATGTATGTTATTGATATTGAATCTGATTAATGATGTTAGCGTAGCTTCGACTAACTGTGTCCGTTCTGTAATTGATGCTGTGTTTATCCTTGTTGATGTAAAACATTTCTAAGAAGTTATGTTTATGTTTGTTTTGTTCTGTACGTAATATTTTTGGATTGTTGAAGTCGAAATTGTGTTTGTGTTCAAAATGGTGGGCAGCCAGTGCTGTAGGATTTTGTTTGGGTTTTTTGCAATCATAGATATGCTGCTTTACTTTCTTATCCACATATTGGGATGTAATTCCGATATAAGTTGCAGGACAGTTTAATTTTAACGTAATTTTGGAAATTACATCAGACTTATTTGTTATTGGTGTGGGATCTTTAATTTTGGAAAAAAGTGTGTAAATTGTTTTATAGTTTGAAAGCTATTTTAAAGTATCAGAAGAGAGAAATGTGTTTAATTTATGTGATAGGCCGTGAATGAACGGCATATATATTGGTTTGTCTGTATTTTCTAGATTTGATGTGGTATTTTAGTAATAGTAGATGATGTTAGTGTTGAGTATGCTTACGTGTTTAGGGTAGTGATTGTTATGTAGGATATGTTTGTATATCTTATCTTCTTGTGGTGAAAAGATTCATGGCTTAGGGTAATAATTCTGTGAAGTAGCACTTTGGCCGTGTTTATTATTGTATGAAGAGGATGGTGTGATGTAAAGTTGTGGTAGCGATCTGTGTTTTTTGATTTTTGATACCAATCTGTGATTAATGTGTATGTAAAAATGGTATTGTTATGTTGTTTTCGATTTCACGAGTAAATTGTAGGCGTGGGTGAAAGCTGTTAAAGTGTTAAATGTTTGAATTTGATCTGTGGGAACTGCTGTTAATGTATCATCTAGGTATTTAGTGAGGAACGTAAGGTGTGATATAACTGTGTTTAATAGACGTGTCTTAATCAGATCTGCAAGTATCGGGCCTATGTTGCTACCCATGGCTATGCCAAATAGTTGTTTGTATCCGTTAATACGGTCTATGTGTCTATCAAAAAACACGTTCATAACAATGGTTCGACACTGCTGTATTAACGGATATTTTACATAACTCAATAAAGATCGAAACTTGGCACATAATAAAGAAATAGTTTTTCTAAAACCGTCATACCAGACCGCATCTCACGATCTCCAAATAATCATTAACACTAAACAACACACACACACACACACACACACACACACACACACACACACACACACGTAAAAAATTAACCGAAAACGTATGTGCATACGTCTAAATGTGATAGTTTTTCATGATATTTTCGTTTATTATACCCAAAAAGCGAAATGGTATCCTAATTACATTTGTAAAACCTGCTTCTACTTCAAATTTTAGGTCTGTTCATAACTGGTTCCTTTTATTTGGGCTTTCAATTTGCACATGAGAAAGTTCAAAAACATTGTTTGCAGACTGAACTATGTTTTAAACCACTGTGCTTTAAAAAACAAAATACTGTTTTATTACTAAATTGGGATTTGTACGTGTAAGAAAACAGATGATAGAACTTTTGTAGAGTTATGTTCTTACATTTAAAACCATGATTAATTAGGAAAACAAAATCACATCAATAATAGTATATTTACAGTGATTAGAATTAACCCGTAATGGTTTAAATTCACATTTGCGTACGACTTGTAAAAACTATCGAGCATCGATAAAGCTGGCGATAATAAGGAAACAACCAAAGGAGCGTGCTTATAACTGCAGTTGTCGTAGGGAACGGCGACTCCGATCAGTTTGTTGTTGCTCATCAACAACGACCCTGTCTCACATAGGTAATTTTTAGGGTAATCACTTTTATCGAAACACTTGTATTGAGAGGAAGTGATAAACCCTGCTTCTTTATCGCAGTCTTTCAGCCCTTTACAAAGGAATCTGAGGCAATCCCTCTTTTCCATGGGTACTAAAATCAAGCCGGTCAGTTTGTACTTTGGACCCGGTATCAAACCCATATGATTCGCGACCAAATTGAATTTATTCCAACCGACGTTCGTATAATTGCTCCGGTCGTTCTCCCATTTGAGTTGGATTGTCAACGGATTGAGCCACATAATGTACGGATTCCTCACAGAAAATGGCCGATCCAACATGATCAACGCGAGATTGTATTCCCACGTTTGTAACGCTTGTCTGAATGCCACTTTTGGGTGAGTCATCCAGTATTCGGGAATCCTGTATTCGTAACCATTTTCATCTCTCAGAATCGAAGATATCCCGGCAACTACTTCGAAATGTTTGAGATTTCTGACGGTTGGAACGAGCAGGTTTACACCGGTGAGGTCGTAAATGCAGTGCGCGCAAAGTAAGACAGTATCTTCCGTAAAAAGGACACCAGAGCAAATCGGACGCATCCCATGTTGGCCTTGCAAACTTATTATGAATTTGAAACTACCACGTTCGTAAATTCGATGTTTATAACCTATGGAAACAATTAGAAAATTGAGTAAAATCCCAAAAATAAAAATAAATTTAAATAGCGAAATCATGAAGGTGTCTAGTCTTTAACATATGTTCACAAAATAACTTGTTTTATTAGAAAAATATGATTGTACGATTCATGAATGTTACAGTCTAATCAGTAAAAACTTTCGGCAGTCCAGAAAAACTTGAAGGTTGATCATTTTGCGCAACTTAACTAAAATTTGGACATTATTCACAATTTAAACTGATGTATCATTTTTATGTAATGTGCGGTTGAGATGAAAACTTAGTTTCACGATCGGGACTCGAACCCACGACCTCCCCGTCTATAAGCCCCGGTGCTCTAACTTGCGCTAACTTGACTTCGTTCCCCCGGGGATCAAGTTATCATCTAAACCTACGACAGCCGGAGGTCAATCTGATAATATGCCGCCATGCTTAAATCTCTTTTATTCTTTGTTTTGACTGTATGTTTATTACCCTTATTTATTCATTCGTCCATTCATTCATCAATTTAGGCATCTCTTCTGTGGTGATTTTGTAACAAACTTTATTGAATAATTAAGAAAATAACACAACCGTGCTGGAACAGCGAGGACAAGTAGATCAACATAACCGGAAACGAAAGAAACACAATGATTGCTTTTTTTCCTTTTTTCCGGGTTCAGTTCACAGCAATGAAGACAACGAGAAGCCGAAAATGTATGGCAGATCAAAACGAGGCTAGGCCGATCAAATTGATCGCAAACTCAAAATAAATTTTATTTTGTAAATAATTAGTTGAAGTCGTGTGGAGCAGTCAAGAATGAAATGTTTTAGAAAAACACCTTTTATTGTCGCGTTTCGACCTTTACTCGGATCACTGGGTATAAAGTGTGGTGCTATTCTTGTGGTGTCATATTGTTTTTTTTTAAATTGTTGTGATTGGTTGATTGATCAACCAATATGATACCACAAGAATAGCACCACACTTTATGCCCTGAAGTTGACTCGAATAAAGGTCGAAATGTCGGCAAAAAAATGAAAAATGTGTTTTTATAAAATTCTTGACCACTCCTCTCGACTTACCAAATTTTCTGAACAACATTTTTTTTGTTAATAGCGTTTTATGAAGTTCTGAGCTAATTATTTTAGTGCGATTTCTTCCTTAGGTCTGCAAAGTTTATTATTGGTAATCTGCTAAAAAAAAACTTGGCAACATCAGACAAGTTTCCACATTTTGCTATCTTCAGTTATTATGGTTTTTTTTTATCTTGGATAACAGGCTAGGCGGACCAGATGTGATCGAAAAGGAAGAAACTATCAATGTATAGGTTAAACTCCTGGCAGATAGAGATAAATACATAGTACCCCCGATTACATAGTAAAATGAGCCAATTAAAATGTTTATTTGATGAGCCAAACAGCCCTTTTGAATATATTATGATCTTAAAAAAATTGTATTTTGTTGGTAGAATGTGAAATTTTTCTTTAATTTTCTTTGTACTATCTGTAACTTAAAATCATTCAGCAATCTTAAGACCATTCCCTTGTATATGGTCTTTATTTTTTACACTTATTGTTTCCTTAGTCATTCACTCATGAAAAGCAATTAAAATATATAAAAAAGCAATATAATTTATTAAAATATTTTGAACTGATGTCTCATCGACTTATACTGACTCATTTTTGCTGAATTGACTTCGATTTTGGGCTTCGGCGTTGGGTCAGTTCATCGTTATTCTCTTCAGACTTATAATAGGGCATACCAAAAAATCACAGCATACAGCATCTTGACTTTTTTCTTCACAAATGCCTTTATTCGACTAGTCACTTCGATCAGTGGAATGGATGTACCAGTTCAAAGGAGTTCATAGACTCAACTATTGATGTAGGTTTTTCTTACTGATCGTAGTTACATCTAATTAATTTTTTTTTTTTTTGTCTATAATATATGGGAATTTTCCCGCTGTAATCGGTGTCTCCGCAAGACTCCCAAAACCCTGAAAGATCGTCGTTCGTTCTCGTTCACGCTGTCTCTTTTTTTCTTCCACAAAATGATCCGAGTAATTTTGACATTTTTAAAAATAGTCTAACGCGTGTCTATGAATGATCCCCCACTTGTGGACTTCGGGGCCCCCACCGCTCCGGTGTTAAAAGAGTTGCGTCCCTCCGGTCTTAGCTCGACAGTGAACACAGAACAGTCTGGCCTGGGCTTTGTTCAGTTCGGTTGACTCCCACGCTCTCCCAACTTTTCACTCAACCAGGTGAGCCATTTAAATTTAGAGACGTAACACAATTAGACTTCTGAAGTCATTTGACATGAGATTATATTGCACGATTTTTTAAATTGCTTTTTATAGTCTGCTGAACTTAAATTATAAACGTAATGCTATTGGAGTAGCCAACGAATTAATTTTGGACGTAGTTAATTTATTATTATGAAATTGTCATTTTAAAGTAGAAAATATAGTTTTATGAAATCAGTCGAAAATACCAAATTAAAGAAAACAGACTTATGAAATTTATGACGAACCCAACAATTGGATTTAAAATGATCAAAAATTGAACATGATGTTACAACATTCAAAAATCAAAATAGACATTAGCAAGAGATAATATAAAAAAATGTGTCGATATGCCTTTTTATTGAAAATCTTAATAGAAAACGAGGAATGATAACAGTCAATGGTTTGAAATATGGTTCAAATTGAATATAAATAATGCTGATTAATAATTGGATTTAAAGCGAACATAGATTGTCTCAAATTGTAAAATAAGTTGATCTAATTTTAAGGAATTACATAAAATGATAAAAGTTATGGTTCAAAATGAATTCCATGTTTCCACTGTTTCGATACAATATCGAGGAATTTAAAAAAATGACAACATTAGTGCAGGAATATATGGGTGCAAAAATGTTTCGGATTTACTTCGTGGTTGCGGGCAGTTGTAGTTTAATCTTAAATTGAAATTGGGCGCCACGCTGAAACGCAAACAGCGAACCGTAAAGAAAAGTAAATTAAATTAAAATTGACTAAATAAAGAGTTATGGTGAGATTAACCAGGAAATAAGGCCTAGGCTTGTATCTCACTAAAAACTAAACAGGCTACCTCCACAGGTTAAAAACTATGTTTCAACGCAATAAAATCAACATACCTAGTAAACAGAAAAAGCGTTATTCCTCTTCCTCAACTTTGCACGGGGAGGAGTTCCACAGGGTAGCGTCTTAAGTCTGTTGTTGTACACGATATTCGCGGCCGATACCACCTCTCATTCTGACACTAAGATTCTCTTTGCATGCTTTTTTCTCCTTGGTTAGGTTTTTGATCCAGTATGTGATACTTCTAACAACCGTATTTTTTAGAATAATGTATTTGAAACGTTTTCGAGACCGCACCTAACCTCAACATCAGCAGGTTTTCATGACATTATAAAGTTAAAAGTTTCGCATAGCGCTCTGCATGAATATTTGCCTAGAATGAGACAGGTGCTGTACGGAAAACGTTTCAAATAGATTGTTTAAAATATGTGATTGTTAAAACCATGCCGCAGACACTCTACTACTTCTTAGTGCAGTTGTTAAGAAAATAGCGCACTGAACTGAATATCTCTAAATCTAAAAGCTTAAAATATACCTTCAGTGCATCACTTTCCTTCCAGTATATTACACTTTATTTATTTCTTTATAACTCCTTTAGGTCTAAATTCATCTAGTGAAATCACGATGCGAAGCACCAGTACTATTATCCCCTTACGCTTCCTTAGCCCTGTATTTTAATTATATTTTCCATTGCATAGGATCGTTGCAGGAGGCCCACAGGGTAGAGGCCTGGGCCCATTGTTATACGCAGTATACACTGTCAATATCCCTTCTCTGATACTACCATTGTGACAATTTCTGACACCTCCACCATATATGCGGTATACCAAATCAGGATTATTTTGCTCACCGAAACCTACAGACCAGCCTCTACCTTTTGGATCAATGGCTTGCAAAATGACGCATTGAAGTGAACACCTCTTAATCTAAAAGCCTAAACTTTACGCTCTGGGGCATCACGGTCGCTCCATTCTATTATAATTTACCCCGTTTTTAATTCCCTTGATTCGAAATTCATTCCTGATGGAGGCTACACAAGCAGTACTTTTTTCTCCATACTTTCTTGGTATAGTGTATGTGGCTGTTGATTATTTTTTCTGTCATTTTAACAATAGAAGTTTGCCATTGTTCTACCAATTCCCAATCCTAACAAACCTACATTATCTTCTAAATTTCTACTGCCACATCAACTTTGTATCAATTTTAGGAAAATGTTGGGAAAACCGCTCTACAAAAAATCCACCACATTCTCGACTGTTTTAGCATTATCCCGGACCATAATTTGATTTCAGGCAACACCATTCTATGTTCTGTAAGCAGTGCTATATGGTGGATACTATTGCATCTTTGCTTGAGAAGAAGGCGAGATTGCTCGGAGGAGCTTTTTTATCGATGCGGAATAGGCTTTCGATCAAGTCTCGCATCAGAGTTTACTCTGGAAGCTGAAGGGTTTCCCTACTTTAAAGAATTTCTAATATTCAAATTATATCTGGTTGATAGATATTCTTGAATTGGAGCTGGATTCTCTTCTTCTTTTTGAATAGGGTCGATGCAGGAGTTAACTCAGGGTAGCGTCCTGGGTCCGTTATTATACGCAGTATAAGTGCCCATACTGCCCTTCTAATTGATTCCAATTAATAATTCTGACGCGCCATATTATCACCAAATCCCGATCCGGTCTTAGCTCACCAAGATTCAACTGTGCTCCTTACAGCAGCGGTTTATAAAACTGAACATCTAAAAGCATAACCATTACCCTCCGATGCATCACTCTCGCTCCAATCTATTCGAAAACGTCGTCCGTTACCTTGGGCTGTATTTAGATAAGCGAATCATGTGTAACCCTTATACACGGCACAGCAAAACTAATTATTCTAATACTAATCTTTATTATTCTAATTATATAATTCTATTATTTTACTTATTCTAATATTAATCCATGGAGGAATATTAACTTTTGTTGTACTACTTATATATTTTGTCGTTAAAAATTTGTCTGAAGCCGGAATTAAGATGATTTACAAACTTATTCTCTTGATTTAATCTGGTCGGTCCTCGAAGTCTTTAAAAAATTAATAATTTTTTCAAAAATTTTTCCCCATTCTTTGCTAAAACCGATTCATAATTAAAATTGAAAGTCAAAAACCAAATTATTTTGCCAAGGATCTTGCCATTCCGGGAATCTAGCCTGTCCTATATAATATTGTTTATGACGTTCTTTTGTAGATCAATGTAACATCATTAATCTGTATTTTTCAAGATTAAAACGTGAAATTAAAAAAAAATGCCAAAGAAATATTTCCATATTCGTTAACCATTCTCGCTTTAACGGCTTCGCATTAAAAGGCTTCATAAAGACTTTCGTTAATCTTTGGCATTTGTAGTCATATCTAGAAGTGTTTTCTAAAAATATGTAGGTTTTCCTTTGATAACTAAACCGTAAGAAACGTGCTCAAAGCAGCCAGAATGAAATCATATCAGTTGGCTTTGAAAAGCCAGACAATTATAAAAAGAAATCGTTTTGTACTCGTTTTATTGGCCATTTTCAGCCTCCTAGACTTCGGAAATAGAAAATTCTAACATTATTTTGGATGGAATGACTAATTCATAAAATAAATCTGTGTTGGTCACCAAGCCGTATTGAATTATAAAAGTAATCCTATTTACATCGACGAAGGAAATAAAATAGAATGCATACTGTTTGGAATTGTCGTTTTCCGAGGAAATCCATTGTGTCCAAAAGGAAAAAATGTCCAACGGATAAATGACTAATACTGTCCACCATCGACATTGTTCTTTTCTGGGCATATAGCGGTCTCATAAACTTGATAATGTATGGTGGGAATAAGCAAATGTCAGCATTTTGATGTCTGAAACAAGCAGTAGGAATAGAAATGTTAGACAATAGCTAAAAATAGTTGTTAAGAGTCTATGTTTAACTTTCTATTTGTTAAAGTGACAAAATTGTCTCTATAAAAAGCATATTTATTATTTAATTTTTTTTCATTATGGGAGTAGACTGGCAATAGATATTTTTTAATAATTGGTTTTATTTTCAGAGATTTTCTTGTTTGGTCATCTCCGACATAGTACACAGATTAAACTCGGAAGAGTGAGAAATGCGAAAAAAACGAGAATTGCCATGAATAAATGCCAGATCCAAGTGTTGCACTTATCGTATCGCCATTGCTCGTGATCATATGATAAACGCTTTGGAATAATTGGTTTCTTTACAAGGAAAACCTCAATCAATATATTTCTATAATTTGGAAACCAATTTGTGATGTTGTTTAGAAATTATTCATACCTTCAACAATCTATACTTTCTCGCATCTTCGATTATATTCTTCGGAACACTCACTTATCTTTCATTTTTGACCATGCAATGGAATCCTAATCCAAAAAAGGCCCTACACTTTTCACTATCGTCAGTTTATCATCAATCCAGGCAAAATCCTGGACGCACTTCCTCATTGGGTCTGTGTACACTTTGTCTTTGTGCTTTCTTTAGTTAGTTATCTTGAACAGAGTGACACTGATCACTCGGTTTGCTGGTGACGACTCTTCCTATCTTACACTCCCACCACTCAACACGACACGCAAGAATGGCACAATTACACAGAAGACAAACACTTTGAGCCCTGAAGATGATCTCAATAAAGATCGAAACGTTGACACGATAAAGAAAATGTTTTTCTGAAATCTACATCACACCAGACCGCATCTCACGATTTCTGAATAATTATACTACCTTACCATGCATACTATCTTACCGTGCACCGTACCTGCCCATAAAACGTTATCCTTTATTCTATCTTCCACTTTCCGTCTTTTCTTTTATCCCTTCTTCCATCATCCACTTACTACCTTATCCTGCATTCTATCGTCCACTTAATATTTTATTCTGCGTTTTACCTTCAACTTACGATCTTATCCTTCTTTTTATCGTCGACATACTACCTTATCCTTCATCCTACCTTCTATTTACAACCCAATCCCTTCTTCTACCTTCAACATAATCCCTTATCCTGCATCCCGCCATTACCTTACTACTATACCCCTCCATCCAAACTTCCACAAATAAGCTTATACTTCAGTCTCTCTTCCACGTATTATCTTATCCTGCATACTACCTTCTCCTTACTACTTTATTCCGCAACTTATCTTCCACTTACAACTATCTTCCATTGTAATTTCTACATAATACCTTCTGTCATCGTACTTATTAATGTATACTACGGCGACGACGGGTGGTATAGTTGATTTGAGGCTCGAGACCCCGAAACGCTCACCTCGAGTTCTTCTCATCCACGGCCCTTTTTCTCAATTCGGGTTCCTTGATTCTATCCCGTGACCCCTCCCAACCCTTGGTTGCAAGGGGGCTATCTGGGCACAAAATAAAGGTGTAGCCCAGAGGGCGTGGCAACCTCTTTAAAGCACAAGCTGTACTCATGTCGGCATAGGGTCGGCATGGGCGGCGGGTGCCTTAGCAGAGTTACACGAGGGCCAGTGCACCAGATCCTGGCTGCATAGACGTACCACGGGGTAACTGAAAAGTTCCAAATTCAGCCATAGATACACTGGGAATGGATTCGTGGTGGTACGTGGTGACGCCTCTGGCGGGAACTTAGACAGAGGCTGTCTTCTATGTGTGACCTTCGTGAAGCTTGCGAATGGTCAGCGTTATTATCCCCGGCCTCACGGGAGACGGTGGCCCGGACGACAGCGTATAGGCATTGAGGACGCGACGATTATGCTGAATAGTCCCTCGAATACGTGAGTGAGCGAATGGAAACGGGTAGTGCGTATGACCGGCGTGGTACCCTTGGGGAAGCGAAGGATCGGACTACCTAGGCTAAGCCAATGGCGTCCCTCGAATGCGCATGGCAGGTGTAGGCTGAGCTCGACAGGAGATCTTACCGTAGGCGGTGCTCATCTAGGGGGTGGTTAGCAATTCCACTAAAAACAAAACTGCGGTCGGGGCGGATCCGGAAGTTTCTACGCTATGGGAAGCCCTAATACTGTGGGTAATAGAGTCGCTTTCTCTATCTAGGGAGTACGCGGGAGAACAGGCTGATGTATTTCGGCCTGTTAGCCCTTTGCGTTCGGCATACGACCCGATGCACAATGCGGGCCCGACAATTCGGAGTGGACAAGCGGAGGGCGATGTTGTCTCGGCCCATAGGGGCTGGGGCGCCTCTACACCAATGCTGCGGCGGTAACACTATTCCGTCGTATGCAGAGGTGCGTCAGCTCTCATCTTGAGAATCAAAACGTCCGATAAGGCCCGATAGGCCACGCTAAAGATCCTCTTGTCCTGTTGACGAAGAGTTCTCGGGAACCTCATGTCACCATCCTCTTATCACTTTATTCCGCATCCTATCTTCGTCATAATCCCTTATCCCCTATTTTAACTTCCAGCTATTATTTCATCCTGCATCCTAGCTCCTACTTTCGACCTTATCATGCATCTTACCAAACCAACAGAGGCACACATATTGCACACTCTTTTATTTTACCTATTAATGCGGGTGTTCGCAAGGAAGCATTACTGATCGTACTTTTTTATACCTTGTACGCATTATATTCCTAATTCTCTTTTAACAGTAATGGCGACTTTTGCTGATAACACATTGAACTTTTCTTTTATCCCGATCTTTCACTTTTCATTCCTCCAAATTTCTTAATGATCCCCGCAGTCGTCTAAAAAGAATGTGGTCACTCGAGTTTTTATCCAGTATAGCACTTAATATTGCAGAGTATTAAATGAGTAAATTTGTTGTCAAAAAATATACAACATCATAATTGTTTGCCACTTGCTATCAATTATAAAATGGATCCTATTCACATATTTTCTCCGACGAAAAAATAAATATTTGCCATCATTTTTCAAAATGTCAAACCCGGAAATCACCCTTTGGATACAGGTGTGACGTTTACTCGTTGAGAGAAAACCCCGGTGTAGATTATGCCATCAAAGATGATAAAAGATTATCTCTGAATACTTCGCATACTTATAGGTGCTGAGAATAATCTTTATTATCTTTATTTCAGGGAATTTTCACCTGCTTCCGACTCAAGATAAAAGCTAGAACGACTTGAAATAAAATACAACTATAAGAGCGTAGGACGATTCTGTAGGCGCTCAAGGCGATATTAGTTAAATAATTTTGCAAACGTGGGCATTTGTAAATGAAAATACAATGTTAATACTAGGGTTCTTACTCTGTCCCAAATTGACACGGATCTTAAGAGGCTCATTATCCTTTATATCCGAGGCATTAAGAGAGTTGCCTACTGAAATGATGAATGAGTTAAACTCTGAAAATGGCTTTCTTAAAAGCTAATCTACCGTCTCCTGTTCATTTGCGGCTTCCTATTTTGATCATGTCTTTTTTAGACATGTACATCGTCACATCCCAGAAAACGTTCGCCTGGGAAAACATCAACCTTAATGATATTGATTTTCCGTTCGGTCTTACGTATATAAAATGACCAATATGTTAAATGCGTAGCACTAGTACTTTACATAGATAAACTGTCATACAAATTCCAACTCCTGAGCGGAGAAACAAGCATTTCATAGAAATCATATCGAATGAAGCTGGCATTTATTTAGCTTGGAGCAAATTTACGACTGGAGAGTCAACTACCAAGCCATCCAGTTCAAATGGGACAAGTCTTTTTCTAAAACTAGAAAACATTTCCAATGAGCTCGAAAGTCGTAAGAATCCCTGAGAACCATTTTAAACCAAAAATGGACGTTATCGAATAAGAAAAGAAGAAAACGCATAAAACATTTTCCATCAGGTTTCTTTCTGTTCTTACCAGTAATTTACAAATGGTATATGCCCAGTTAAATTTATAGCAAAAAATATTTGCTAAACAAACATCTTTTAACTGATTCGTGCTTGTCCGAGATGGGATAAAACAAACTGTTGAAATAGTTTTGCATGTAAATGAACCAGTTTTCTATTAACGCAACTTTCGTGCTTTCCCTATCCCTATTTGAACAAGTAGATCATTACAAGAGTAAAGTAATAAAGTCTGAGGGATCGTTACTCATAAAGCTACGTATATAAAGCGATAAGTTTTTTTGTGTAGTCTACATTTATAGCCTAGAGTTTAAAATATCTGAATAAGGTTTTATTCATATTGTTTTATGTTCCACGGTTATTAAAAAATTGATTTAGACGGTTGGTGTAAAACAGAAAAGGTGTTACGTGCTATAAATATTTCTTTATTTTGTGCGTTTCAGATTTATTGTTCTATCCTCACCTGAACAATGGGTTATACCTCAATCTGAGTCTCCGTACAACGTACAATTTGAAATACTTATATACATATTTATAAAATTAGGATAAAAATCTGATAATTTACGTTTGTTTATCAGTTTGCAAATACCAAATAAAGCTTTTCTATACGGTCTCGTGTTAGAATCAGAAATTGATAACACGATACTCTATTTATTATCTTATCTTTATCTAATAAAGAGAGCTGTAAAATGTGATGTTGATGTCCTCTATTTGAAATTAAGATGAAAAATAATTCAAAAGCTCTTCTCTAAACGCAAATATTTGATCAGTGGTTCAAACAGTTGCTCATAGAACTAAATATAACTGTATTCCACTCATTATTTATCGTGTTTCCCTTACAGTTATGTTATATCTATTGCACTTCCTTCAGTTTAAAAAAATGATTTCTCGGTGATAACCAAGCAAAATAATATTTTTTACTAATTAATAATTTTTATTATATGTTCTCTTTGAAAAAATGTGTATTTCTGTGTATATTGTATTTCTGCAAACAAATTTAGACAAATTAGGTGAGAGCGAGGTATGAACTCTTCCAAAAGCCATAGTTGAACATT